TGTTAAACTGAGAGGAGCCTACCTCCAGGGCCAGGGCTCTGGAAAATTCTCCAGACACAGGCAGAATCTGCATGTCAGCCTTCGGATACTTAACTCGATAATCTCTCATCAGCTCAACCTGCTTAGCCTTGTCAGGGTTGGAGTCAGAATTGAAAAGCAGGACCACAAGCTTGACATTCTGATTTGGGATGAGACATGTCTTCTCAAAGTTCCCCATGAACCTCACAAACATATCAAAGCGTCCAGACAAAGGAATGAGAATGTTTATCTTCTTATCTCGGGGTTCTTTGGGTTCAGTTTTTGAGCCAGGCAGCTGAAATGGAACAAGCTTCTTTAGGGAATTGGAGAGAAAGGATAAAGACCCGGATTCCTGGTTAATTCTGTTGGTCAGCTCTGTTGCGTCCAGCTGCTCGTGCTCTACACACTGGATCTTGCTGAATGTCTGCTGTAAGTAAGCATGCCGCCTCACAGAGACGGTCATCTTTTTCCCTTTGTGCTTCTTATACAGAAGCAGCAAGTCCAGCCCCGTACATGGGGTTCACTCGGCGGTAGCTATACTCTCTCCTTGAAGTCTATGACGCGGCCCCTGGTCTTGGCATTGGCGTTGATCATCTCCATGACCTGCATGACAATGTTGTCCAAAGCTTCTCTCTGTGCAGAGTCCATTCCTCTTAGAGGTGGCTGGTTCTCTGTAGCTGAGTACAAGTATTGCCCAGTAAGAAACTCCCATTCCAAAATCTTTTCCCGCTGGCGGGGCTGGAACCTCAAGAATGAGGGCTGGATCCCCAGCTGAAGGTCCTCCTTGTGAGCTTCAGTGTCGCTGTACTTGCTTATCAGCACTATCTCTCGGTGGAGCTGAATTGTGCGGTGCCGAAGCTCAGCTATCTTGCGACTGAGCATATAGCTGTGAAGTCTGTACTGGTAGGGTGGATTTTTGTTGGGGTGAATTTTATTGTTGTGGAGATCTCTGATGTAACCCTTTTTGTTCTGTTCATAATTCTCATAAAAAAGCTGCTGCATCCGTACGCCGCCAGGGTGCGCGCGTGCAAGTACTTCTGCGCTGTCATAACTGCCACGAAGAAAAAGTTGCTGTTGCGTGGGTCGCCCTCCGAGGCCCGGCCGTGAGACCACCGCAGCGCCCCGCGCACATCCCGCGCCTCGCTGGCCTGCCCAGCCATCATCCAGCGCGGCCGGCAACCCTCCAGGCCGACGCGGTGCTCCAGGCCCGCTTCAGCTCCGAGGCACGGGACAGCACGAGCCGAGCCACAAGGCCAGCACGAAGCCCAGCATAAGCGCCAGGCGCACCGGCCACGCACTGCGATGCCGCGCCGCTCTGTCCAGGGCCGCCGCCCTCAGCTGCTGTCCCTCCTGCGGGGCCAGCCCGCCCTATAGCGCAGCCAATCCCGGCCCGGGCAGCGGGGCAGCGTCGCGGCCGTGGCGGGCTCGCTGCACCCATAGCGGCCCTGGAGCTTCCTGCAGGCCCCACGCAGGCGTTTTGTTCCTCACGCCCGCCCACAGCCTGCGCCTTTAAGAGCCGATCAGGCCCTGCGCGCGCCAGCGTAACAACAACTTTCTATGTGGAATGGTATGATTACCAAGTATGGTAGAAAATGAAAAGCCCAAGGTTTGACTTTTTTGTTTTTAGCAAAACAAGCCAAAAAGGTTTATTAAGGTAATGCAACAGAGGCATGGTTAGTGAAAGATTGAGATGTGAAAGAGTTAAAGAAAAAAGGAAAGGGGAAAAAAAGGTCGAGAGACATCCCTGGAAAGTCAGAGGTGGGCCAAACCTTTTGACCCATTGCTAACAGGAAAAGAAATTTGATCGTCTTGACTTTCAGGATTGAACAAGCTTCAATTTACTTATTATTGCTTCCAATGAATGTTAGTTTCTTTAATAAACTATAAAACACTGTTATTAGGTGCTGTCAGGGCGAGTATGATTCATAGTTTTCCCAAGAACATCAGATCTGAACCCTGCCCATTCCTGTGCCTCCTTCATCTCTGCCTTGTAAAATCCATTATTGCAGTCACTGTGTCAACCCATCTCGTTTGGGGTCTTGCCTTCCTTCACTGACCATCCACTTTCCTAAGCATGCTGTCTTATCCAAGGACTAGCTGCTCCTGATAACACGCCCAAAATATGAGAGACAAGGTTTCACCATCCTTCCCTCAAAGGAGCATCCTGACTGCACTCCCCAAGACATACTTGTTCTCTTAGCAGTCCATGGAATTTTTCATGACTTTCTCCAGCATCAGAACTCAAAGCATCGATTCTTTTTCCTGTCATCTTTATTCACCATCCAACTCTCAGATACATAGCATGGCTTGAATCAGGTTCACTTTAGCCTTTAAACTAAAAACTAATATTCATGCTCTTCAGCACTGTGGAAAGGTCTCTCTCAGCAGACTTTCCCAAGACAATGTGTCTTTTAATTAGATGGTTGCTGGTAACCAAGGTTATTGACTGTGGATCCAAATTAAGGAGAAATCATTGACAGTTTCAGTATTAGTTGAAAAAAGGTTTTTGAAAGTTTTTTATTAATATTTTTCAGCTGTGGACATTGTTTTTACTACTGCTCTTCACCCCTTTTAAGCAAGTTCTCAGAGTTATAAAAGTGTACAAAACCCATTCACCCTCTTTGGTTCATGCTAATAAAACAGTAGTGACTTTCTGTTCTTTTTAGGCGTTGAGGCTTACAGGAAAGCATGATAAATGCTGCTGCAATTATATGGTTTAACATTTAAAGAGAACTACAACAACAAAAAAGAGCCCCAAAATAATAATAATGATTGCCATTCAGCCCTAATCACTTATTTTTTGCACTATGGGGGGGAAAATAGCCTAAATTTTGGAATGAAAGTGAAGGATTGCTTTTTTTAAAAGTTACATAAAGCAATATGTGTTATAATTTATGCCCAGAAAGAAGGCAGGATAATTATATATTTAAATTTCAACTGAACTCATTGTCAGTTGAGGCTGAAAATCACCGAGATTACTTCTGAGGAGCCACCAGTGGATTCAAAGCACATGCATTTGGGTTGGCAGCTGGCATAAAGCATACAAAACTCACAAAATGGAAAAAAGTGGAAACATCAAAGTCCATTTGTAATGCAAAATTCCCCAATGATCTGGTGCAAAACACTATGTACAGAACAAACACCATATAATTAAAATTATGAATCCTAATGATTTAATACAGACAAGTTGCAGAGCTGAAAATATTTCTATTGAAAATAGGTCTATTGATAAATGCTTATTCTTCAGGAAAAACAACAACAACAGGTATACAAAAACAGGGAGAACTGCAGTATTTTTGCATTCCAGCAAGAGCTCTTGGTAGGTGGTGCTTGTGCTGGCCCACCTGAGGCCCTCCCCACTTGTGAAGGGCGCGTTAACCTAGGTGCCTAAGAGTTCCAGACATACTATTTTGGGGAACCCATTCTTTTCTTTGTAAAAGAGTTTCCAGATTTACTTCCAGGAAAACTAGAATTTAGCATATAGATGAGGCTCAAAGTCGTCCTTCTAAGAGTGACTCATCAGCCTCTGATTCCTTTACATATTAGTAAGCCATTCTCAACATCAGAGACCTGGGGCAAGGCAAACAGCTCTGGGAGGAGGGACAGCTCGGAAGTCGTGGGCGAAACTCCTCCCTCTAGACACGCCTAGGCCGCTCTCACTCCCTCTCTGCATTATAAAGCGCCCTTACTTCCTTCTTGGTGCAGTTCCTCCACACAGCTGTGCTCTGCTCCCGGTAAGAGCCTGGGTGGGCGAGTGGGCGGGTTCCCGGGTCTCGGTTCCGGTTTACTGTACCCTGCAAGGACCCTGCAGACCCGCCACTGCTGCCGGGGGTTGTGCCTGCACCCGGGATGGAGCTCAAGTGCCGTACTGGCCAGGAGAGGGGGCCTATGGAGTGCACACTTTGGGTGTTTTGTTACTCAGGACGCAGGTTAGGCTCCCTGGTACTCTGGCAGGCTGGCCTTGGGCACATAAAAGGAATCTGGGGAAATCTAGCAACTAATGAGCAAAATAACACACTCATTGCCCAACCCTTAGCTGACCCTCCTGGTTTTCAGAGGCATGGGAGGAGATAACCCTTTTCCCCACGTATGAGCTGGTGAATTCGAACCTCTTGCCTTTGAGATAGCCCAGAGTAGGTCTGGTAGCCTAAGTGGTGAAGAAGCTGAGCTGCAGTCCAGAGGCATATGGTTCGAATCCATCAGCTACTCCACAGGAGGATGGGCAGTATTCTCCAAGTGATTTAGTTTCTCTGTAAGCCTGCTTGAGGATCAGCTGTGAGTCTGCGTTGACTGAAAAAGCAAACAACAGCAGGCCACCAGTGCAAAAAAAAGTGGTAGGGATTCCACTTACTGCTCTCATGCTACAAGGTCTGTGCGTTACTAGTGTTTCTCCTTCCCTGTGTTTGAGGAGGCAGTAGATACCCAGCTGAGCTATTAGAGGCCACAGAAATCCAGGAGCTGGTTAGACTCTGGCCACGCACCAGCAGGATGCCCATGATGCTGGATGCATCACCACTAGAAGGAACAACTACCAGACCAGGAGTTGCAGAGACCTGGGGGGCGGGGTGGGGAGGGGCATGCCAGACTGTACGCCAAGTACCCTCCTAGCAGCCTTTCAGGAAGCTCTGGTAACCTAATGGGTCATTTGTACGGCCGACCCCAAGCAAGTGGTTGGAATCGACCAGCTGCTCCAAGGAAGAAAGATGGGCAGTGTCCTCACCTACAATTCACAGCTTCTGAAAACCCCAGTTCTGATTGGACCTCAGTGGATGAGTGGGTTCCTGAATACCCCCCAGCCTGCTTGGGGAGCAGGGAAAGGGAGAGAGAGTACTGCCTTTCCTGAGAAGAGAGAATAGCTCCAGGCCTTTCCCTGAATGCATAGGCCTAGGATGACTGAGGAGATGACCAGGATACAGTTGCCCTATGTGGTCCTGGGTGGCCCCTGGAAGCTCATGCTTCTCTTCTGTGTCTAGCCAGTCACCATGGAGCAGCTGACTACTGCCATTACCCAGTTCTCCCTGGACCTATTCAGTGATCTGAGTAAGGAGAATCCCACGGGAAACATCTTCTTCTCTCCCTTCAGCATCTCCTGTGGGCTGGCCATGGTCCTTGCCGGGGCCAAGGGCAGCAGCGCAACACAGTTGTCTCAGGTCAGTGATACTAAACCTACCTCTTATGCTGTAAACTAGTTTCATATCTGTGTGCAGAGCTGTTTCTTATAGCTTATAAATTTCCTACAAAGCATTTTCCAGATAAACCATTGCATTTCTGTGCCAATGAAGAGTGTGTACCTGATTTCATTCATCTTCAAATCTTTATACACCAAGTGCCAGGTGCTGGTTTTGGCCCATGGAAATTCCTGTCCACTTGGGGCTTATATTCCTGTGAAAGTTTTTTTAACAACATTCGTTTCAGCTCAGGCATCTTCTCCTTGGCTAGGAGCCTAAGATTCCTGCTTTGCAACTGATAACATACAGACAGTAAATAATACCTTACTATGTAGTGTTTCTTTGGAGCATGATACTATCTACATCTTCTTCCTTTGTGGCTGTCACTCAGCTACCTTCCAGGCATCAAATTAATTTTATGAAAATGTGTGTTGAGGTGGGGCATTTAAAAGAACTTTCTAGTCCCAGGAGTAATGAGACGTAGGACAAACACTGTGGCAGAAAATTGGTGACTTTGTCTTTGAGAAGATACTGTCCCTTGCCCCACCCCTAATTTCCTTTATGGCAGAGTAAATATTGCTGGATTGAGCATAGTAATTATTCAAACATTCCATATCTCTGTAAAGAATATGGACTCTGTACTGCTGTATAGTTTTGTTCACTGTCCAGCCCTCATAAAATTATAAAGAAACTCCTGATTCATAACTGTTATTTGGGAAATGAAACTTCTGCTAAAAAGCTCAGTGTTAATGATATTTTAAAATAAGTAAATTAAGTATGCAGGCTAGCTTTAGAAGTGGCCATGGTACTAGGGATATTATAGCTAATGTCAGATGGATCTTGGCTGAAAGCAGAGAGTACCAGAGGAATGTCTATCTGTGTTTTATTTACTATGCAAAGGCATTTGACCATGTAGATCATAACAAGCTATGGCTGACTCTCAGAAAAATGGGAATCCCAGAACACTTGATTGTGCTTATGTGAAACCTATACTTGGACCAGGAGGTGGTCGTCGTCAGAACAGAGTAAGGAAACACTGCATGTTTCAGAATTGGAAAGGGGCTATGCCAGGGATGTGTCCTATCTCCATATCTTTTCAATCTATATGCAGAACAGATTATCCAGAAGAATGAGCTCTAGGAGAAAAAATGTGACATCAGAACTGGCGGAAGACTCACCAGTCTCCATTATGCAGATGACACAACCCTGTTTGCTGAAACTGAGGAGGACCTGAAGCACTTGGCTGTAGAAGGTCAAGGACTGCAGCCTTCAATATGGATTGAAGTTCACAATCAAGAAAACAAAGATTCTTACCACTGGGTGGGTTGGCAGCATCATGATAGATAGTGAAAAGATTGAGATTGTTAACAGCTTTAGTTTGCTTTGCTCTATAGTCAACGCTCTTGGTACAAACAGCTAGGAAATTAAAATACGAGTTGCATTGGGAAAGTCTGCTGTCAGAGACCTCTCCAAAGTATTAAAAAGCAATGATGTCAGTTTGGAGAGTAAAGTGTGCCTGATACAGGACATGGTCTTTGCAGTTACTTGCTATGCATCAGAAAGCTGGACAATGAATAGGGATGATAGAAGGAGAATTGATGCCTTTGAGATTTGGTGCTGGAGAAGAGTATTGAATATACCATGGAGTGCTAAGAGAACAAACAAGTTTGTCCTGGAGAGGGTGAAGCCAGGTTATTCCTAGGGGTCAAGGATTCTGAAGCTTTGTCTGACATACTTTGGACTTGTTACAAGGCTGAATCAGTCCTTGGAGAGGGACATCATACTTGGAAGGGTGAAGGGACAGCACAAGAGAGGAAGACCCTTGATGAAATGGATCGATTCAGTGACTGGAAAAATGGGAATAGGTGTGTCGGAGACAATAAGATTGGCACAGGATAGAGCAGGGTTTAGGGTTGTGTATGTAGGGTCGCTATGAGTCTCAGATGACTCGATGGCACATAACAACAACAGGAAGTTAACTTATAAAATCATTAAAAATAAAAACCCAACTTAATGTGTAGTATTTTTTTGTTTCTGAATCTATATTGATGCTAATTTTAATTGTCTCATCCTATACTCAATAAAGTAAACCACAAATACATTTGTATTTATAGGTTTACAAATATATAAATATTTATGGATATAATTTTCTGTTTATTTTAATATAGTCTTATAAAAATAGGTTTTTTTAAAAAAACATAGGTCTTTTTTATTTGTTTATTTTAATTTAGTTATTGTTATTATTGTGTATCATTGAGTTGTAACCGACCCATAGCTGACCATCCAGCAGGTTTTGAGAGACAGTAAATCATACAGGAGGAAAGGGTTCTCTCCCTGAGGAACAGTTGGTGGATTCAAACCGCATGCCTTTGGGATTACAGTGTAGTTTTTTAGCAGTAGGCCAGTAGGGCTCTCATTTAGTTATTACCCAGTCATATTTGTGGTGCATAATTAGAATAAAATTACTGAAAAGTAATACATGTCTCAGAGCTGTATGTCTTGGATTCTATATTGTTTGTTCTCCAATAAAAAGTTTATAAAATATTGAACAGAAAGTCATCACTAACTGTAAATAAAGCATTTACTTTAAATTGAGAGTCAAAACACAATGTCTTTGGAATTTTAGAATAAATGTCCATAAAAAGAATGCTTCCTTTCTTTCAGGCATTTCATTTTGATAAGGTTGAGGAGGTTCACTCCAGATTTCAGCGCCTGCATGCCGACATCAGCCAACGTGATGCCTCCTACATCCTGAAACTTGCTAACAGGTTATATGGAGAGAAGACCTATCACTTCCTCCCTGTAAGTACTGTGCACTCTGTGCTCTCAGACATCCCCTGGCCCAGGCACTGCTCCAGCACAAAAATCAGTTCCAAAATGTAGTTTAGTGGGAGTCCACTCATAGCAGACCCTCCAGGGAGTTTTCAGAGGTTGTATGTTGCACTGCAGAGGAATGCCCATATTTCTCACCAAGAGCAGCTGGTAGATTTGAACCATTTGCCTTTGTGTTGGCAATACAACCTCTTACTCATTAGGCCACAGAACTTAAAAGCATTCAATTGCAGAATGACTTTTGATTGTCTGTGGACTATGAGAAGAGGCCCTGCAGAAAAGTGATACCTGGTGCAAAGAAGGTTGCCCTTCAATGACATGGCGTTGTGTGCCATGGTGTTTGTAGTGGAAGGATGGTGCTAGTATTTACTTCTTTAAAAAAAAATACTAATCAGCTCAATACAAATAATTTCTATATTTGATAAGGCACTAAAAGTAGAAGGGTTAAGACTTACTGTGTAAGAATGGAATTTGGCCTCTCAGGATGATCTCTGTCACTCTTAAAGGTTTTAGAGAACCATTTCTTTTTTTCTTTTTTTTTAGAGAACCATTTCTATACAGAGTAAGAGCTACTAATAACACTTCCTTTTTTCTTTATAGGATTTCTTGGCATCAACTCAGAAAAACTACGGGGCTAACTTGGCCAGTGTTGATTTCCAGCATGCCTCCGAGGAGGCAAGGAAGGAGATAAACCAATGGGTTAAAGAACAGACAGAAGGTACAGAACAGAGTGACACATGAACCTTTACCTTAGTCCTCTGTCCCCCACCTGCATTTCTTCTGTGCTCTCTTCCACATCCCTCAACACCCCCTCCATTCCTGTCCAGACACACTCACAGTCTAATGGTGGTGGAAGGTGATGCCATCTCTCAACTTCAAATGTTAAAAGTTCACCCAAGTAGAGCAAAGTTAGTTAAAGTAGCTAGATTCTTCTCACCACCTACCACCAACACTTAGTTTTCCTAAGGGCATTTGAAGTTACAGCTTATACTACATGTAAAACCAATGGAAGAAACGTTTTTAGAAAGTTCACCCTACTTGAATTTCAATAATAAACATATGGAAAGGAGTATGGCACAGGAAACAAGACTTCATTGCCAACATCTTGTCAGATAAATCATGCTTGTTGGGGTGAGAATTGGCTTATTTAGATTTGGATATCCTATTTTCACGCATCTGTTTTCTGATGTCCACATTGTATGAGTCAATGCACTTTCCCAACACCTAACTCCCATAATTAAGACACTCCCAGTCTGTGGGCAGACCTTTAGTTCAAGGGATCTTGGTTGGACTCTTTATTGTGAGAATACATTTGAAGAGATGATTTACTAGTTACTAAATGCAATGTTTTTCTTCATCTGAAAAACAAAGGCCACTCACAATATAAGGCTCATTGTCAAACAAAATATCCTTTTAGCAAATACTTTTTTCAATCTGTTGACTTTTTCATGGGCTGGTTGTGTTCTCATACTGGTCTGCCTTACAATTTAGTTTATTTAAACTCTATTCAATTTTATTTTTTGTCAATTTTTTTAAAAATTTTATACTGATTTATTTACAAAGTTTGAATACATTGTTTTTCACACAAGATTCTTCCCATTTCTTTCACCACCCCATCAAACTGTGCAACCCTATGATTAACACCCCACCTCACCCCACCCTTTCCATCCTCACCCCTCTGCTTTCACCCTCCCCCCCCCTTGAATCTTCATACTGTTTCTACAATAATGGTTTTATATAGTATTTGTCTTCATGGGACTGAGTTAGTTCACTTAGTATAATGCTCTCCATTCCCTCTCAAGTTAAGTAGTAATTTATAAAATTCTTGCTCCTGTTTGCTATGTAGTATTCCATTGTATGAATATACCACAACTTCTCAATCCATTAGTTTGTGGTTTGACATCTGGGCTGTTTATACCAACCTTATACAATTTAAACTTTGGTTAAGTTTACTAACTGAATTCCCTGTTAATGGAGAATTAAGTAGAACACATACATTTCAACCATATTTCAGTGTTAGAGTAACATTGATTTTGGGATTTTGACAGGCACATTTAAAATAAAAAAAAAAATATTTCCTTATCTTTTCAGGGAAAATTCCAGAACTCTTGGTTTCAGGTGTGGTTAACAGTATGACTAAGCTTGTGCTAGTGAATGCCATCTATTTCAAGGGGAACTGGGAGGAAAAATTTCAGAAAGAGGCCACAATCGATGCCCCATTCAGGCTGAATAAGGTAAGGAAATGTCACTTTCAAAGATGAAGTCTTACTTTAAAAGTACACAGTTATTTGAGTGATATGTCTCTTGAACCTGTGCAGAAAGACACAAAAATGGTGAAAATGATGTATCAGAAAAGGAAGTTTCCATATTGCTATATCCAGGAACTGAAGTGCCGTGTATTAGAAATGCCCTACCAAGGCAATAACCTCAGCATGGTCATCCTGCTGCCAGATGATATTGAAGATGACTCCACAGGTCTGAAAAAGGTAATTCCCTCCTGGGTGTGGTGGCTCAGGCTGGGTTTTGCCTGATGTCTCCTGTGTGTGTCAGGTGGGAGGTATTCATCATTTCCTGATACTAACTTTCCTTCCCAGTTCTCTCTGAGTCCTTTGAAATTAGTCCACCTACATTTACTACTACAAAGTCTTAGGTTTAAAAATTAAAGAAAGTTTCCATTATCATAGCCATGGCCGACATCTACAGATGTCTATAGAACTATATTAAATGTAACATTATTACTGGAAAATTATAGGAATCCTACACTGGAATCAACAGTAGGGAAAAGTGCAACAAGATAAATGCTGCTTCTCTGAGTGAGAAAAAGGAAAGGAGAACTTATGGTATATAGCTGCTTCATCAAGTACTATAAAACTCAATTACACTACTTATTTTTACTATGCTTCAGTTTGTTGTTGCTTGCCATTGAGTCATTACTGACCCACCATTAACCCTCCCTCCAGCAGGTTTTCAAAAACAGTAAATCAAATGAGAGGAAACTGCCCATATTTCTTCTGTGGAACAACTGGTGGATTCAAACCACCTGCCTTTAGGATTGCAGCACAGCTTCTTACATCTAGGCCACCAAACTCCCCATGCTTCATTTAGGTCATGAATTAACTTGCAAACTCTGCATGATATAAAAGGACCAGTGTTAGCTTAAATATTAGGCCTACTTCCTAATGTAAGAGGAGGAAAGATGGGAAATCTCCTCCGAGGCTATCTACAGCCTCTGAAAGCTCACTGAAGGGTCAGCCGTAAGTTGTTTCTGACTCAGTGCCAAGCAACTTGATTTTTTTTTCTTACTTGTTAGAGCTAGAATTAGCCCAAATTGTGATGATTATACTTTTTCTACAGTGTCCCTAATATACTTTGTGTGGTTTTTAATTTTATTTTTAGGATATTTAATAAAGTTAAGTGGTTCAGAATATGTGTGTGTGTGTGTGTTTGCATTTAGTGTATGTAGTAAATAGCCAATTCATTTTAATCGGATTTTCATGTTTATGTTTGATCTGATTTTTACCAACTATTGCCAGAAAGAAATAAAATCCTCCCCAGACAATCTTATTTGGCACAAATGTGAAGGAAAAAAATTAACAATAGTTATGTGTCCTTTTATCTAAATATTACTATGAATGATGATTTATTACTTAGTATATTCTATTATACTGATTTTATTTCCTCTTTTTCTTTATTATAATTCCAGATCGAGGAACAGTTGACTTCGGAAAAATTGAATGAGTGGATCAAACCTGAGAATATGGATGTCATAGAAGTTAACCTCAGCTTGCCTAGGTTCAAGCTTGAAGAGAGCTACAACCTCAATTCTCACCTGGCCCACCTGGGTGTGCAGGATATCTTTAATAGTAGTAAGGCTGATCTCTCTGGCATATCAGGAAATAGAGATCTTATTATATCAAAAATTATTCATAAATCTTTTGTAGAAGTGAATGAGGAGGGTACAGAGGCTGCAGCTGCCACGACAGCTATTGCAACCTTCTGCATGCTAATGCCAGAGGAAACTTTCAATGCCAACCATCCATTCCTTTTCTTTATTCGACACAAGCCCTCAGGGAACATCCTGTTTTTTGGCCGAGTTACTTCTCCTTAAAGATTGTGGAAATACAAGATCAGGCCCGGAGCCTTATTACCTGATCTTTTAATGGTAACAAGTATTTTTATCAATAAAATTACTCCCCAGAAACATATTTTTATAAGTGCAACTCTTATACTGAATACTGCAATGTGTTTCCCTTTTCACAAGGAAAAATCAGTGATTTTTATGGTTGAATTCATTCAGTCAAAAATGAATAGAAATGAGTCAGATTCTTTTTGGACAGCTATGAGAGATCATGATGGTGTGATAGTTTCTTCTATGGACAGAATGTAGAGAAATTCCCTGACCATTGGTGGTAGGCTTAAAAAGAGATACTCATTTGAAATGTAGAAAAGCACTCCAATGGAAGGCCTATATTATGAAGAAAATCTTACTTTGGCCAGTGTTTCTTTTACTTTGTTCTGCAGAATTAATATTCTCCTATATTTCTCTCTTTTTAAAAAAATATAATATTTTGTTGTGTTTTTGGTGACAGCTTTTATAGTTCTTTAAGTTCTCATTCAGAAGGTTCTAGATGTTTTGTGACATTGGCTATATTCTTTATAATATGTGAGCATTTCCATTTTCACATTATGTCCTGATGATGTTCCATTTTCATTAGTCTACTTTCTCACTTTTTAAAAATCAGTGGGTTTTAAAAACATTTTAATTGTTATTTAATTAAAGTTTAAAGAAAGGATGTGTTTTCATTCTTTCATTGACACATACTTTTCTCTCCCCCCTCCCACAATTCACTTTGTCATGCATATCTTACTTAGTCCAGATTGTTAATTGTCATTTGTCATACATATAATGTCTAATCATACATTCTTTTCAGATAGGCCTTCCTTTCTCCTATTCCAGTGTAGTGTTTCTCATCTATCCATTCTTTTCCTGCTCTCCCCTCCAGTGCCCATCCTATTTTTCTAACAGTGGTATTATACAATATTGGTCCTTTTGTGACTAAGATATTTCACTAAGCATAATGTCTTCCAGACTCATCCATGTTCAGTAGTGTTCTGAAAACTTACTGTTTTTCAGTGCTGCATAATCCATTTTGTGGGTGTACCACTATTTCTATCCATTTGTATGTGGATGTAAATGTAATTATTGATTGGTTATATCCCACTGTTTTCTAAACTATTCAATTAAAGGGCTACCTGGTAAAAAGTTGTGATCTCTTGTTCTTTTTCTTTATTTACTCTACCTGATATATAGAGTTATTGTGGGATCAAGTGGAGTCAAGTAGTCATGGTCATTTCATGGAATCACTATTAAGAGAAGCTAAGGAGAGGTTTTACACAGAGAGGTAATTCATTTTGTAGGGTAGCAGGCATGAGAAAAGAGGAAGAGAAGAAAATAGATGAATTGTGTAAAGAATAAGGCAGTACACAACAAGGGCTTGATTAAACAGTAATTATGCTAATACATTTTGACTAATGTTTAATTATGCCTACTATACTAATAATGGTGATGAAAACAAAATGAATAATTGCATGAAAAACCAATATGTAAATCTTCATTAAAATAAAATAAGAGACACAAAAAGTTCATGTCTTAGCTGTTATGAAGCAGGGCTGACATGGGGGTTGGGAGAATAGGAAAAGAGTAAATAGTTAATGAGTGTATCATTGCAACAGATAAGGGAGAAAATTGTTTAAAATGAATATGTAATTGGGCATTATATGTAATACAAAGGTCCAGAATAAGAGATACATTGCAAAGAGGAGAGGGAGGAGAAATGGGAGAGGGATGGAATTATGCAACAATGTATGACTATTTTTTTTAAAAGAAAGTGAACTGGGGGAGGGGAAAGGAAGGAGGGGAGAGAAAATGTGCAATAATCAATGAATGAAAATCCAACTTTTCTGTACGCCTTTGTTAAAATCACAATTTTTTTTAAAAAAATAGATAATTGAAAAAGCTCAAGAAGAGAAAAATAGGGGAGACTGCTAAGCAAACAGAATGATCTCACTGTTATAGCAGTTTCTTTTGTAGTCTCTGATAGAAACTCTTAGGATGGACCTGTTCAATACTATGCTGGTATAAAGGAGGTCTCTTTAATTCACATAAACTTTGGTCAGACTTAACTCCTTGTGATAGGTTTGAAATGCTGCATTTGTTGTGCTCCTACAAGCGTTATGTGTTAACTAAGCCTCCTAAATTCTATAAACTGATTTAAATCTTATTCTTTCTCCTGAGTTCACATAACCGAAGCCTGCAAAAGTGGACTCTTGACTTGTGATGCTGATACACAAATATTGTATAAAATCACTACTCTAAAAAGCTAAGAAAAGGTTTACATACAGAAAGAATCACTCTTGGATGGCTACCCTGGATGAGAATGGAGTTAGAGAGAAGTAAGAGAAAATTGATAATGTTTTTATGTGCCATGAGTCATTACCAACTGATGCTCCAGTGGGTTCTGAAATGGTAATTTCATGGGAGTAGATTCCTCTCCTCTCTTACATGGAGCAGTAGGTGGATTTGAGCTATGTGCCTTTGGGTTGGCAGTGCAACCCCATACTCACTAGGCCACCAGATCTCCAGATAGATAATATTGTTGTTAGGTGCCATCTAACCTGTTGTTTGTTCAGACAAGCAAATCTGAACCTTGCCATAATTAATAATAGGCACACATTAAGATCTATGAAGGGAAGAACAATAGTCAATAAGGAAAGAAACAGAGCACTATCACTAAAGAATGGGAAGACACAGGTACAGAACAAACAGTTAACAACATTTGTATTGGTGGAAGGCCAGGGAAAGAGGTGGATAGGTGAAAATGACAATTCCCATGAATGTATATAGATGTCAGATGATATTTCCACATTCATATTAGCATGTGCTATAAATGCACTTATTTATAAATGCAGAACCAGTAAGTGACAATCCTTTGCAAGCTTCTTAATCATTCCCAATTACTTTGCCTTCAGGGATTGAACTGCTGTTTCTGGGGCCTTGGTATTACAGTCTTGGGGGACATCAAGGCCAATTAACATAACACAGTCCACAAAGACAAAGTTGTACATCCTGTTTTGGTTAACAAAGACTGGAGTCTTAAAGCTTTCCTGCAGCCATCTAAAGTCTTTCCTTGTCCAGCACAAAAAAAGAAGGGAGAAAGCAGATCTATAGAAAAAATTAGTCCAAATGACTAGTGGACCACAAAGACCTCAACATTCAGAACCTTTTTCCTAATACAGGGTACTTTCTCCCTACTCACAAGAATGAGAAAGGGAAAATCCAAACTTTATATGTTGTTGTTATGTGTCGTTGAGTTGTTTCCGACTCATAGCGACCCTATGCACAACAGCCCTAAACCCTGCTCTATCCTGCGCCAATCGCACCGCCTCTGACACACCCATCCTGATTACCCCAGTCACCAAATCAATCCATCTCATAGAG